ATATATATATACATTTATAAATATATGTATGTATATAGGAATGATACATGTATGTATATATTATTATTATTATTATTATTATATTATTCATATATTATATATATATAGGAGTAATTTTATCCTTTTAGAGTATTATTTCTGTACTGCATTTTTCTGAATGATTATAATTTTATGTTAAAATGTTTAGTAGGTATATGAGGCCTGTGGAATAACAGAGCATACATTGATAGCGATTGCTGATTGTTTTTTGTCAATGTCTTTCTTAGTTTCATGTGCCGAAATCCGATTTCAAGTTTTATGTGGTAAAAAGAATCGAAAGTATAGAAGCATGTTCAAATATATTGTGTTTCCTAAAAGTATCTGTTATTTTTATAGCTCATACAATACACATGTAGAGATCACTCTACTTGTGACGGTAAGAAATCGTGTGTTCGTATTTATACTTATTAATAATGCTTCTAACTTTTATTTTCCCTTGGTTGTCGTAGCCGAGGCTTTCAAAACACTCAAAGCACACATATTCGATGACAAGACTCTCACCGATGCGGACAAACAGTTCTGTACAGATGCTTGGTATGTGCCATGCTGTAAGATCAGAAATAGAGTTTGTACAATTGTAACTTGTACATAATCTATATACAATATATATATATGTGTGTGTGTGTGTGTATATGTATATGTATATGTATATATATATATATACATACTATATATATATATATGTATACGTATGTATGTATGTATGTATGTATGTATTATTTTTGTACGTATATGTATGCATATATATGTGTGTGTGTGTGTGTGTATGTATGTATGGATATATATATATAGTGTTATAAATTTTATAAACGTAAGACTATTCCCACGTAAACTTTCATGAGTATTTTTTTTCTCGTATACATATATGTATATACAATATATATATATATGTATACGTATGTATGTATGTATGTTTTTATACATTCATGTATTCATATGTATGTATGTATGTATGTATGTATACATATATATATATGTATATATGTATACATATATATATAAATATATATATATATAAAGCCATTCCCGCATAAATTTCATAAACATAAGGCCATTCCCTCGTAAACTTTCATGAGTTTATTTTCCTCGTGCTGCTTATTGACATACACCTTACATTCACGCTTTCACGATATATTAATCAATTTTTAACAATTTTTAATAGCCTTTTGAGATACCTTCGAGCGCGAGACTACCACCTCGAACGCTCAGAAAAGCTGCTTAGGGGCACTCTCAAATGGCGTAAAGAGTACTGGAAAAATGGTGCTTTGGATCCTAATGGTATGCTGTTAAGTCTCTAGCTTTTTACCTTTTTCGTGGCCGCCGGCTTCCTTCGGACGACATTGTGTGATTGGCAAATTTATGGACTTATACCTGGCAAACTGGTCGAGTGTATCTCGCTGGCCGGAATTCGCTGTCGCCTTTCTTCTGCACTTGCGCATCCTGCCCAAACGATGAACTGTTCTGCGGGTATCCCTGTCTGCACTTATCACCTTGCCTAACACTTTTATTCACGCAAATGCTCTATTACAGGACCACTTGACATAGAAGCCGGCACGGGCAAAGTACTGGTACATGGACTGGATCGGTATAAACGTCCCGTTCTATATTTGAGACCGAGGTTACAGAATACTACCAACTACGTAGAACAGAACCGCCTCACTGTATATATGCTGGAGAGGTGTATCGAGAGCATGGTGAGTCACGTAATTGAATTGTGTACCCGGAAGTCCGTTGGTATATACACGCTTCGTAGGTAGATACGTATTCAAGAATTTTCGGTATACATGTACTATCTATACGAAAGAATGTTCTAAGCGTACTTGAAGGTGTACTGTATGTCTGTTGAGAAGTATGTGGGAATTCGCTGAGTTTGTCCATGTTGCTGTTTATCTATCAGAGATGTGGTGTTCCTAACACGCTTCGTCCTGAAACGAACGTGAACACGATATTGTGATAGGTATGCCACATCTGCGTGCGGGCACGAGCGGGTTTCTGTCTGTGCTATATATGTGTGCGTGGTTTTATTCGTGCGTTTGTCCGTGTATAAAGTTCATGATATCTAGTTTATGATCCTTATATACTTGTTCATCAATAACACGGACGCTAAACTTTCTTGTTCAGGTACGATTTTTGCTTTTGTGATGCTCTCCAATATCGGTACATGTGTATGCAGTAGGTTGCCTGGGTGAGGGGTTATTTGGTCCCACAACCAGAAAAAGATGAATTGCATTGAACAATGGACTCAAGTGTTAAATATTATGAGTCCGAGAACCAGGTGCTTCTTAGGGACTCTTCGTCCCATTGCACCACCTTCGCATCTCATATACCTTGAAACCAAGCAAATTGAACCTTTCTATTATTTTTTTCTCCTTGTAGGACGCGAGCTATGGAACTGAAAAATTGACGCTGATAATAGACTTCAAAGAATACTCTCTAAGAAATGCACCGCCCATGGCACAAAATAAGGAATTTATGACTGTATGTACCGAATTGCGAATTGTTTCCAGAACAAGCCCATGTTCTTTTTTCAGCTTTGCCAGTTGTCCTGTCTTTTCTATCGAGTGTATGTACATACGGATGGCTGTATGTTTCCATGTTACTGTGAAGGTGCATACGTGTATATATTTATTCATATTACTTCTATACTCATTTCGCACAGTTCGTGAGTTTCGTAAGTCCCAATGTATGTCCGTGGAAAAAAAAATAGCCGGTTATAGCCATAGAGAAAGGTTTCCCCCAAAGAAATACTGGCATTAGCCATACAGATTGAAATGAAAGAAAAAAATCTATATTGTTTGCCGTTCACTCACACGTGACATACATTGCTGTTCTGATTCTTCAGATTCTTTCCGAGCACTATCCTGAAAGACTAGGGGTGGCAATTTTGGTGGATGCTCCGATGATTTTCAATATGACATACAAATTACTACAGCCATTTATCCCGGCGGAAACTAAGAAAAAGGTGTGAAGGCGTGTACATGTCCACTAGAAAATTGTTGACGCGACTTCAATGTTTTAATAAGTCACGAGCGAGGTAGTGTGAGTAGAGTTCTGATCATCCGCATATGAATCATGCTATTTTTAATCATTTCCACCGGATTATGCTTCCTTGTGACGATGTACACAGCGTCGTTGCGTATAATTCTTGCACATCGTAATGAGGGTGTGTATCATTTACAGATAGTGAGACGTTTTGCATGTTAATTTAAAGGAAGTCTCGCACCCTGCTCCAAGGTCAATTCATTGAGCTTGTAGCTTGTGTGTGTGTGTGTTGTTTTTTGGGGACTGCGTCTACCACGATTGTGTACAGTATTGTACGTTTTGAGCAGCAGTCTGGCTTTGAGAAGTGTATATTTAATTCATTACATGGTATGTGCCTTGTGGTACTCTGTATGTAGGCTTCTCTGTGTGTATATAGGTTTAACTGCGTTTACTTTTACATTAACTATACTCGCATAGGCATGTGCCCATTTGGGGCTTTGTCCGCATACGGGAACATTGCGGATGTGCTTCTAATGTGCACGGGGTTCTTGCCTGCGCTTGTGGACTCTGCTATTAAAGCTTTTAACTTCTCGTCGTCTCTTCAATAAATTCACAGGTTGTGTTCGTGAGCGGATCTGCCAAACCAGGGCAAAAGAAACACGAAGTGTTGTCTAAGTACCTACATATGAATGATGTCCCTGCGGAATACGGGGGAGATGCCGTATTTGAATATGATCATGAACACTACTGGTCACGGGAATTGTCGCACTATGACAGCAAACGAATGTCACAATCACCTCTGGGCAGCGATTAAAACATGGGTATGAATAAACCCAAATCAAATAGATGAGGACAGTGTTCGTTCTGGTCGGCAGTTTGATTGAGGTGTCGTTTACGTTGAAGACTTCGGAGCTCACGAATGCCCATTTCAAATGTCTAGGCATACAAGAGTTTGGAATAATATAGCTGTTCTTAGACTAACTTCAAGGCACATAGCCATCTTACAGGATGAACTCGAGCATAACAAGAATATGTTCTGGTGTTCTTATCTTTGTTAAACCTTGAGAGATTGACGAAGTCTACTAACTTCAAGGCACATAGCCATCTTACAGGATGAACTCGAGCATAACAAGAATATGTTCTGGTGTTCTTATCTTTGTTAAACCTTGAGAGATTGACGAAGTCCTTGCAACGAGCATGATTAGCAGGGCAACGAGCATGAGGAAATGATCGCCGAATATGTATATCCACATCGTGCATAGCCGCCGTTTATAGTGTACTGCGGCACACCTAACCATGGCGGCCAAGTCGGCACATCATCAGACTCTTGCAATACTACTGATAACTTCAAAAGCATAGTAAATGACTCATGGCCCGGTTTAGGTGTGTGTGTTGATGTATATATTTTCTTGTGAGCGAGCGGTCTATTTTCGACATCTGTAGTTTGGACAAGGGACGGGGATATCCTAAATTCAAAAATCGTACTATTTGAAGCCCTTCGCATTTTCATTTGAGGCATAGACAACGCATGCTTTTTAGTGATACGCTGTCCAGTCGCGAATTATCTTTTATACCACAATTGACACATTGCAGAATATAGTTCGTTAAAGCACTAGGAGATTTTGGCATATGATCAATTCGTTATACTTCTGGTGAATCTGAAATATTTTCGCAGTACATCAATGGAAGTGACATTGCCGCTAAAATATTATATAAAATGTATCAACAAATATATGCCGCTTGGTGTAGGAAGCATCTGGTTGTGTCCAAGGCGCAAATCTGGTCAGAAACAATAATCTTTGTGTTGATACTGTCGGAAGGGATGATGCAGATGGCGGTGCGCGGATTCAGGCACAATTCACTTACGACATACATGTAGAAAATTCATTATATTCAGAGATGCTCTGAAACCAGTTATGTTACTTATATAAACCGTGCAAATCCAGAATGCCGTACAACAGGAAAATAGTACCGATCTGATAAAGTTTGGGCACTCGCAGATCACCAAGATACACACAATTACATATTCACCAATTGAGAACATGTTTGTCCCCGCAGATCACAAAATATCGGTGCATATTTTCCAGATGATACTAATTACTACATAGTCAAATAAATTTCATGTCTACACTATTCCGTCGAAGGATCTTGTCGGATGTGTTCAGACTTCAGTAACTTCGTTCTGAGTACACTCCTTCATCACACAGAAGGTTCATACCACCTCCGAGAGACCGTGAGTGAGTAACACACGGCAGATACTGCAATGCCATGATACTTTATTTTTTCAACATGGCATAATGTACACTACGTATACTTTTAACTGTCTCCGCATATACTTATGCACTAATCAAATCTGCTTGTAAGAATTCTGAATTCCCCAACTTCGGATTCTCGGAACCATGTAGAACTATAGAAGGCTTCCACCCAAACTTCCAAGCTCCGTGTTTAACAAGACCGGCCTACCACTGCAACCAGGTCCCAACTTCCAGGCTGACCTGAGACCTCCCAGGAGTTGTATGGGAATTTACTATTTTTCAACAAAAACAAATACAAAAAGAAGGGGAATTTACAATTCCACTACGAATGCCTCACGCTGCCGTATGCTGTCATGCCACAGTATCTGTATTTATTTACATACATTCATACCCACAAATGACAAAATATTTCGCCTACATATGTAGATAATTATCTGACACATTTCAAAAAAGAAATTAATAAGAATTATGTACATGAACCTGGGAGGCCAGGAGTACTTTTGGAATGTGGCTGAGTAATGAGTAAATCCCTCATTTTGGTGAAAACGTAGTACGAGTTACGTTAACGCTCAGTTTTGGAACCGTTTTCCCGCTTTCAGGTAGTTTACTGGGAGCCAATTCTAAAAACCAACTTTGTTTGGATCTACCTTGTATGGCCCAATTAATAGCTGTTATGTTTCGACAGTAAAAAATCTGTCCAACTATAAACAACTCGACAAATATTTTGGTGAAAATTAGTTGGCGAATTATGCCAAATATAAGGGCGGGCACAAGCCAAGACCTATATAACGTATGAGAGCGTAGTACGTTTTACGTTAAAGCAACAATTTGAAAGCGTGTTTACGTACTACGAATAGAAGTCTGCTTGAGTTTTGAGACTTTTAGTGTTCACAGGAGAATTTGTACTCTTGTGGAATGTGGTTGTACAATATTTACTACAATTGGCAATTGCCTTCACCGGAGACTCGGAGTTGGAGAGGCTGAGAATGAAGAATCCGTATGTATTTACATACAATGTACAACACACAGTCCATATTATTTGTTTTTGAAAAGTGAAACACGGCTGGAACGCCTCAGGAAAAGACAGCGCATTCCAGAGGGGTAATTCATTTTGTATATAATCAGGTATATATATTTATAGAATATTGGTAAAATATCTGGGCCCTTTTTTTAAAACAAACAATTAAAAATTACACAAAAAAGTCAATGAGGAGCCTTTCTTTCTGAAATGAGAAGGGGCTCCATGGGGGTCAATAAATGGGTCAAATAGAGCCACTGACGATTTTTGTGGACGGACAAAAAATCGGTCATAAAGTTGACAGGGTTAGAAAAACTTGCGCTTTCAGTAATAAAATAAAGTAAACATCGTCAAGTCTGAAGTCTCAAGACGAGTCCCCAAAAACAGTAATATATATTTACAGAAATACTATTATTTTTCTATAAAAATATATTCGTCAAGAAGAGTTCGCAATAAATAAATGTACATACCTGAATGGGTACATATTGCTCATTGGCATGCCATTTCACCCCGTCGGCGAGTAAGATCTGAAGCGTTTGGTTGTGTCGGAGGGATGGGGGCAAGGGGCGAGGCGGAAACGCGGGAGTGGTAAGGGAGGTTTCACTTATTCCGAAGAAAAAAAGGTGCATAGCTATATAAACATCTCATTGATGGTTTCAATTCTTCACAAATATTGTTACCAAAATCATATTAACATTGACTGGCATAATGTTTGGTTCGGAAATAATATACGCTATGTGCCTGGTATTATTTGCCACTGTTGCTGCTGCGTTCCCAAGTAATGTAGATACGCTTGTCAAACATTACGGTGAGATGTATTTGAAGGATGGAATTGTTCCTCAAGTGGCAAAGACACATGCTTTCATGAAGGAGGGCAAGGTACACATGCATGTTGACCTTCTCGGTATTACACACGAGTTTCTACTCGAACCCACATCCGTTTTCAGCCAAGACTTAATCATCTCAATTGTCAAAGGTGGTGGTGTCGTGGAGAATCTAGCCCCGCCCAAGCAGTACAGTTATCATGTAGTAGATGAGCGAAACGCTGATGTATCTGGAACAGCTATCGTGCATGATAATGGATTCAACAAGGTTTTGATGTACACGATTGGCGAAACGGAGTACACATTAGACGGATTCGGCC